TAGTGGCGATCTGTTGCCACCCACGCAATGGGTCCCCAAACTCCCGCTCAGCCCCCGCATTCGTGCTGCGCTGCATGGCGGGCTGCCGCGAGGGGCGCCGCAACTGCTTGCCCGTCATCCCGCAAGCCTTGCAAAAGCCTTTCAACCGCCTGAGGCGCTCGGGCACAGCAGGGAATCGGCCCATGATGCCCAGTAGGCAGCGGGGGCAGAAGCTGCAGCCGACCGCAACCCAAGGCCGCCGAAACGCAAGGGTAGCTGGAGCGCCCGCTGCGCCGGCTCAGGGAGGATTTGGCCTTGGGACAGCAACGTCGTGAGGCACGTTTGCATGGCTGCGTCGTGGCCTCTGGCGAATTCACCGTCACTCCAGGCGGGAGCATGCGAAGCAGGTAGTTGGCCCGCGGGCTAGCGCAGAAGAGCAGCAGTAGCCACGCGCCCTGCAAGTCGGGCAGGCCAGGAAAGTGGCTGAGGAGCTCGTCGTGCAGCCCGCGCTTACGGCGCAGTTCATGCTGGACAAAGGCGTCGCTCCCCAGCGGGGCGCCCAGGACGACAAGTCCTTGCTGTGCAGCGACCACGAACCCGTCCACACGCATGGGTGTGGAGGAGCAGTCGACATGGCGATCACGCACTCGTGTGCCCCCGCACAGGTCTTCTCGCCAGGCGGGCAAAGATCGTGGAACATGCCTGGGTGCGTGTCGCGCGCGAGGCGTTGGGAGCGGATGGCCAGGTTATCCCCCAGCAGTGGCTTGCACTCACTACAGCCCTAAACGTTGGAGCTGGAGACCGTCGGAGGCTTGACCTCGTCGTGTACGGAGGCACACCGCACGGCGGCGCCTTGTGTTGCGACGCCACGCTTGTATCCCCGCTCACGCGGACTGGGCACCCGCAGCCATGCACCGTTACCATCGACGGAGCCGCGCTGCGAGTGGCCGAGCGACGCAAGCACGCCGCGTGCCCGGAGCTTGCGTGTGCGGGGCCGCAAAAGCTCGTGGTCCTCGGCTCAGAGGTAGGCAGTCGGTGGAATGAGGGGGCACGCAGCTTCGTCCGCCAGCTGGTGCGAGTGAGAGCCCAGCGAGCCCCGCTAGCCATCCGCGCAGCGGCCGCGGCGGGCTGGACACTGCGATGGTGGAGCATGCTGTCCGTGGCGGTCCAACAAGCGGTCACCAGCACAGCATTGGGCGGCCACTGGCAGCAGCCCTTGTTGGCCCCAGCCGCTTGCCTTTGCGGCCCTGAGCTGGCAGCCCGTAGCTGGCGTACTCGAAGCTTTTGTGGTTCAGGCGTATTAGGTCCGTGAAAAAAAAATCCGCTTGTTATGGACAGAAGGCAAGAGAGTGGGAAGGAAGGAAAGCAGGAACAAAGGAAGGACAGCTTAGTATTTCCCAAACGCTTAGTATTTCCCAAACCAGATGCACTTATGAACCCTCAGGATACATAGAACGCTATAACCGGCACGCCTTTTTAAGGCAATCCATGCTTAGAGTGTAAGAAACATGTCATCACCATCCCCCTTCCCATTACCTCTGTGGAATGAGTTATCCCCGGGTCCTGGTAAACCGGTTTAGTTTACCAGAAAAACGCCCCTGGGGAACATTATATTTTACGAAGGGAAGAGCTTGGAGGGGCCGGGCACCACATTTTTCATTCTAGGTGTAGGCCTCCCATTTTACCGTAGCCGGTGGGGGCCCCGCCCCCCCCTTTTACAGACCTCCAAAAGCGGGTACCCCCATTTTGCAGTAGCCTATTTGCATCTCGGTACCCCCCATCTTACAAACCTTCCAGGGGCGGGTACCCCCATTTTACAGCAGCCATGTTCTTGCATTGTCACAAGCATGCATGCAGCAGTTCATCTCTTACGCCTGGGTAGGCAGTTGTCACACGTTGGGCTTGCTGGCGGTAAGTAGGGAACAAGGAAAGATATTTGCAGCAGTCGTGCAAGCGATCCTTTGTCAGCAACATAGAGCGCGGTCTTTGTGGCTGGTATGTTGATGTATGCTGTGCCGGTACCCCTGGGCAGGCCGAGCTGTACGTTTTCTGAGGAAAACGTGCAATTCGGCCCCCGAAGGCATGCGGCCGAGTAGGAAGCCGGGCCCCGAGGTACCGGCCCTGCTCAGGGGAGCGGCAAAGCTCACATCCGTGGAAGGTCTAGGGACTGTCTAGGGCATAGCCAGTAGAAGAAGAAGAAGAAGAGGGTTCAGAAATGTTAAGTATCAACGCATGTAGTTGCCTGTGTTTGCAGTGCAGTGCCCACGCAGTAGTGGTTCCCCCAAAGTCCTTCAAACCCAGGGTACCCCCATTTTAGACGCCCCCATTTTACAGACCCTTTTTGCCTGGGCTCCACCGTTTTATTAATGAAATGGGGGGTCCCAGGGTTCCCCCTGAATACAAAGGGGGAATTCATCACCATGGTTGCACTAGGGAAAAAGTGTGCGAAACATTTAGCTTGCAGATGGAGGGGGCGCGGGACCCCCCAACCCCGCTTTTCTAATGCCAGCCAGGTTTGAACTGAAAAACAAGCATCAAGTCGTCGCCATGTCGATCATTTGGAAAAACAAATGCGGGGGGTTGCGCCCCTCCCAACCCGCTTGTGTTTTTTGAGGCCACCCCTGCTGATTGCAAAAAACATGTCAGGGCCATGCTCCCCCCCAAACCCCCTGGCTTTTTGGAAAACCACTCATACTTGGAACAAAAGCATCCAGTCGTCCCTATTTGCAGTCACGGAAAGTTGTGCGGATCAAGGAGTTTGCAAATGGAATGGGAGGGGTTCCCCCCAACCCCCCGCATTTTTGGAAGCCATCCAACTTGTTAAAGGTCATCCATGCTTCCATTGAGAAAAATGTCACCACCATGTTTTCACTAGGGGGAAACTGTGCGGTTCCTTTTGTTTGCAAATGGGGGGGGCTGTTTTTTTCAGGCCATCCATGTTTGCAAGAAATGACGTATCCTGTCATCACCATGTTTGCAGCAGGGGGAAGGGTTGTTCGGATCATTTTGTTTGCGTCATGGTCCTGCAGTGGAGTGCGAGCTTCCGTTCAGCCCTCTCAAGTTTGGGGCTGGATGAGACTGAGGGGCTGGGAAAGGTAAGGCTTGTCGCCACAGGCAAAAACTCACCTCTCCCAAACCAACTCCCGCCGTAAAAAATTGCTGCTTCTCACAGCGCAGAAATGTTACTTGTAACGGAACAACACGGCAAAAAACGAACCTGCTCTGCACTTGGATTGTCCAATGATGTTCTGCGACAGATATCCTGCAAGAGTTTCCACGCTGCCAAACAGCAGTTGTTTGAGACTTTGGGTTTGTGTGGTGGTATAGAGCTTGGCTTGTAGAGACTGGCTTGCAGAGACGGCTCGAGATTGCCCTGCCGGACCCTCATCACCCTTGCTGAGTGGAGGCAAAGTCGGGACCACAAGTTCAGTGTTTGTTACCTACATGAAGTATGAACGATTTTGATTTCGAACTGTTCCCACAACAGTGCCGCGCATGCACGCTATGGACAGTCAGTGGTTCTTGAACGCTCTAGTGCCGAGCCAATTCTGTTTACCATGAAGGTCAAACACATACGCCCTTATGCAGCTCGGTAGGGGTGGGAAGGAGTGGAGACGGGGCTGCTTGGATCTCAATGATTTTGTCATTATGACATGACCTGACCGCAACTCGAATTTCCGTGAAGCGACGGTATGGCGTTGGCAAAGGAGGCAGGGTAGAGCCTTGTAGGTGGTTGTTGAACCCACGCCTTGAGAGCCATGAAGTCTTGCAGACCCAGGAGGACCACGTCTTTGGAGTGCCATGCCGACTCCTTGTTGGAAAACATGTCGCACATCGATGTCGCAGAGCCTTTGTTTCCATTCTACACCGTGCCCCTGGATACATTGCTTGAGATGTCAGACATTGAGCCGCATGAAGAGCTCAAGGCAAAGGGTGCGCTTGTGGAATTCACGGCAGTCATGGGACATGCTGCGTTCATATCACATCAGTGGGCCGGCCACAAGCATCCAGATCCAGAGCTCAAACAGCTTCGTGTCTTGCAAGATGCTTTGCACTGCATCAAGTCAGAGCTCAGCTCAATTCCTCTGGATGTTTTGTCGGAAACGTGGGTGCCAGGAGCTAAAAGCCTTAGCACGAAAGAGGTCACATCCAGGCCGCTTTTTTTTTGGTACGATTATTTCTGCATCCCGCAGCTGGAGCCGTCCACTTTGCTAGCATCTGGTGAGGTTGATCGACAGAGGTTTGGAAGCTCTTTGGCCCTTGCCATCAGTTCCATACCGAATTACATTGCCAGATGTAGGTTTTTTTTCGCGCTTTGTCCCACCTTGGAAGACGCGCCCCAGTCCCAAGTGCTGACTCCACGCAGCTGGGCGCAAAGGGGTTGGTGTCGAACAGAAAGAGCCATGCGGGAGCTCTCCCAACATGAGTCCTGGATCATGATCAAGGGCAAGAAGCGACTTGAGTTTGTTGCATCGCCAGTTGCGTCCTTGGGCAGTTCGCCAGGGGAAGGGCATTTCACGCAAGAGGAAGACCGCCCCTTGCTTGGGCAAATCTTCTTGCAAGTGCTGAGAACCAAGCTTGTGTCATGCCTACGAGACCGAGATTTTGTCGGTTATCGCGTGTATTTGAACCTCCAAAGTGTTTATCTCAGAGGTTTTGATGTTGATGCTGTTGCTGGCCTGGTGCCGCAGCCTGCGGAAGTTTTGCCATCGGGGCCGGTAGTTGCACAATTCTTGCATCAGAATGGCTTCAGGACGCTCACCGAGAAAGATGGCGCTGGCTGGCGTCCGTTGCATTACGCCGCCCTCAGTGGGAACGTGCTCCTTATTCAGAGCCTGCTGAATCAGCGAGCAGACCCCAACACGAAGACAACAAGGGATCAACCAAGGATCGGAATGCCACCCCGGGCTTCGGCTGTCGGTATTTGCGCATTTTTCAGGCACAATGAAGCTCTGCAACTGTTGATCCAGGCACGGGCAAAGCTTGACAGTGGTTTGCTGCCGGCCTTGCACTTAGCAGCCATGTCGAACAATGCAGATGGTGCCCGGTTGATTTGCGCAGCAGGCTGCAGACCCGATCTGAAGGATTTCTTCGGTTTCTCTCCTTTGGAATATGCCTGCGGAAAGGGTTCGGTTGCTGTGGTTCAAGAGCTTCTGTCTCGGACAGCTCTGACAACAGAACTTTTATCGAGGTCTTTGTTCTTGGCCATGTCAGACGAGGGGGGTACTGCAGAGCTGGCATTTCGGCTTCTTGACTGTCGCGCAGATGCCAACTTCCAGTGGAACGAGCCCTTGACCACTCTGTTTGGAGCTTACCTCTGCTTTAAGCGCATGCAGCACAGAGCGGGGCGAATCTCTACAGCTACCACGGCAGCCGTAGAACTGTCCGGCGGCACGCCTTTGATGGCTGCAGTACTTGCAGGCCAGTACGAGGGCGCTGCTGCGCTTTTAATTGCAGGAGCCAGAGCGGACTTGCAAAATCAACGAAGCCGAACAGCTGAAGACCTTGCTCGAGACGGCTGTGCACCGTTGTTCCTGATGGATGCACTGCAAGGGCAAACAGCAGATTGTGAGCGAGTGATCGATTCGGCACTCACAGTGGCTGTGCATTTCTGAAAGGCGCTGAGGTGATTTTCATGTGCTGAAGGCAATTCTCTTCACCGTAGCTGGACTTTAGAAAAGTATTCTTCACTAAACAATTCGGCGCCAGCAGCCAAGCTGCTCGGCTCCTTGTCGCACTTTTCGCTCGGAAGGCAAAAGCACAGAGGGGCTGGACTGTGTGGCTTCAGTTGTTGCTTCATGCCCGATGCCCCCAGTATGCGGTGAATAGAATCCCTGCAGGCATTTGGCAATGGCAATGGGCTCGGCTTTGCCACGAAGGTGCACAGCGTCAAGCGCGAGCTGTTTATGCCACCTGCCTGAGCATTGCATTCTTGGGAAATTTTGTGGCTTGCAGATATGGTACTTGCCCAGGCGTTTGTTAGAGCCCTTAGAAGTTTTGCAAGGTTTATGTTCGAACATGCGCGAGACGTTTCATCGACAACAGCTTTCTCTGAGGCTTTTACAAAGAGGGACAGAGAATTCGACTTGCTTTTGCACCTTCCAGTTGTTTGGTTTTATTCGTATGTGCGTGTGGCAAACTAAGAGGTAAGTCATCAAAGCGCGCTTGCTGCGATCCTTGCGCTACAATAATACAACCCGAATTTGTACATTATAATCCCTGTAATATCCGAATAATAGCAATAATACAAAATAAAAGTATTAGGAATAACCCATATGGCTGCAGGAGGCGCTCAAAACCTGATCAGCAGAGGTCCTCAGACGCGCCATGGACATACAGGATTTGAATACACAGGACATCTGTCACTTGCACGATATGACACATTCGAGGACTTGACCTGAGTCCAAAGATCACGAAAGCCACAGCACATGAGAATTTGATTCTAAGTGTGCAAGCAGCGCATCTCGTGAGCAATGCCCAGCCAACTCACTAAGCAGCAAGACAAATTGCAAGACTGGAAGGCACGCTGCCTGACGATTCCAGCAGAATAGATGAGCTCTGCCCATCTGAATGATCTCCAACCCAAATCCAGGATACCCGCCAGTGTTGATAGTAAAGCACGTTACGTAATCTGCGCAATCTTTGCAGATGCTTAGCTCTTCTGCAAATTGCTTGGCATTGCCTAAAAGCAGATTCCCTGACTTCAAGCCCATGCATCCCAACAAAATGGCGCGGCTGGCCCTTAGACTCTTTGAGCCACCATGTCTGAAATTCCTTGCACCCTTCAAACTACTCCAAAGCTTCGCCATGCATCGCCTGTCTCGGGGGGTCTGAGATTTGTGAATACTGGAGAATCCAGCGGAAAAATGGAAGCCAAAATGACGCCTCTTTTATGCGGGTGGTTTATGTTGGGACCTTCTGAACTTCTTACCGCGAGCTTCAGATTGGGACTTTGCAAAGCGCATCCAGGTACATGTGACGACGGATGATCAGAGTGCGAACGGTGGGACAAGAAAAGGATCCAACAAACCCAGGGGACATTCATCCAATGCTGACAACCTTTAGGGGTATTACACCAAGTAGGAGGAAACGAAATCGAATATGGAAAAATGAATGGAAACTTGTGTTACTTAGAGGCTTCTGTTAGCCCCACCGCCCAAATGAGACTCGGCCCTGCAACTGTGACGGAGCTGCACCATGTCTGATTTTTGACGAGGGCAAGATTTTAGAACCAAGCGTCCATACTGGGTGCGTCAACAGAGTGTCAACAGGCCTCGATATCTTGGGGGCATGTAAGAGCCCTGAGCATGAAGCTAATGAATGCTATTTATCAATGTGCGTTCTCCATGTTTCCTGGTGGTCTGCTTGTACTCACTGCACGCTCCAACAGAACTTTAAGAGGTCTCCATACCCGCCAAAAAAAGTTTTGTCCTCGATTCAGGATGGGGTGCCAGGCCCTGTGCGCTTCGATTGGCTGCGCGGCTTGGATAGCAAACAGCAATGACATTCTACTCCAGCATTGGTACTACTGAGTACCGGAGCTAAGCCGTTCCGGGGTGCTTGCGGAGTGCCGTTTTACAGCATGGTTGTAGCACAGTCTGTGATAGTGGGGTTGGCCACTTTTCAAGTGCCTCTTGGGCTCCTGACTGCTCCCAGAAGAGCGAGAAGAGTGCTAAACAGCAATGAGATCTGCTCCCGCAAGAAGAGCAGAAGCGCTTTGGAGGATGAGGGGCCATGTGCAGGTTTCCATACATCAGGGGTCCTAAAGCAGACCCCAATATACTGCAGTCCTTCTTCTGGGGACAGCAGGTCCCTGTTTTTGTTGGAACATGAGCAAGAGATCCCCCATTGTTTTCATCAGAGTCGATCTTCTTTCTCACCATGTGTACATGGGAGTTTAGAAAAACCAACGGGGCCCGATGTAGCGAGAAATGAAACTCATCAGTGTGCGACGCAGCGTATTGATGCTTTCGTCAGGATCCATCAGGTCTGAAGAAAGTGGAGTGTGAAGCTGTCCCCTGCACGGAGGACAACGCTGCTCCGGTAGCACAATGACGAACTACCCATGTTCATGCCAGAAATCCTGAACGATTCTAGGACCCTCAACCTTGTGAATTCAAGCGATTTTGCCTGCGGGGTCATGCAGGAGCTTTCGTATCGACAGCACATATGCTATTCCCGGTCCAGTTCACCCCAAAATCCTGTCATGACCTGAAAGTTTCCCAATATTGCCCTTCTCTACTTCCTAAAGAGGGTCTATGATCCGCTGTTGTCCCCACACATCCCTACACCACAAAGCAAGTCCGTGTTGAGAAAGGCAATACGTAACGATCAGGGCGTGGAACCAATGCGTGCCAGTCAGCCTCTCTGATTGGCTCAGAGACGTGTTCCCGCAGAGGCTATGATTTGCGAACACACCTGCTGCAACAAATTACTGTTGCATCAGGCGCTTGTGCAAATTCCAGGTCAGTAGTGTTTTTGAACAGAGTGCTTGGTATGCTCCGGGGTGTGGGGAATCCGTGGGCGTACTATGTGTGGCATCTCAAGCGTAGGCCAGGTTGGTGCGCATCCATCCAGTGGTACGGATTTGGATGGGGGGTATGGCTGACGAATTGTTTGCTAGACCTACATGAACTGCTCGAGTTGCAAGAAGCACCTGCGGCATACACGCGGTACAAGCCTCTGCATGCCCTCAGCTTGCTGGCGCAAACTCTCTTATAAATATCACCTGTAAGAAATATTGCCTCTATTAACTTTCCTTTATGGGGGTAATATCCCTAAACCTGATATACCCCTACATAATCCATAAATCATACAGTTTAGGCACCAGCAGGGCAAGCAAAAACCCTGGATCCAGGACCCGAAGCCTTCCTGACTGGTCAAGGACGCAGTGCAGGCAACGCATCACCTCGTGGCTGCCGGAACTTTCCATAGCGATACTGAATGATGGCTAATCAGATGGAAACTACTAAGTTATTTAAAGGTTATATAAGGATGTATAGGGTTTAGGGGTATTGCCTCAATAATGGAGAATCAGATGGAAAAGCAAATGGAAAAAGAAATGGAAAGTGGAGGTTTATAGGGATAGAGAGGCCTTAGGGTTGACTTGCTGGTGGTTTACAGTAGGGAATGAGGATGAATGAAGGAATGGAAAAGCAAATGGAAACTACCATTGTTGTGGGTAGAAGGGCCACTACATTGAGCCATTCTTCCGTTCCGTACTGGGATTGATAGGGAGCATTGGAGAACATGAGTACTACATATTATGACTGAAGGGGTTGTTTTCGTAGCATTGAACGCATTTGTTCCCCCACTCCGTCTCAAGGAATCAGTCATGCTTTTTGCTGCAGGTCGCTGTGCTCTGCTTTAGTGGTGGGGATGGATGATGAATGTCTTGCCCAGCTTCGCACAGACCTCGCACCGTCTCTCACGGACTTTGCGCGTCGCCAGGAAAAAGCCCGAATGCAGCCTGCTAGTATTAAGATGCTCTGCGGCCAAGAGTTGGGAACCATCCATGAATCCCACTGCCAGTCGCCCCTTTTCGCCATGTCATCGAATCTGGCACTTGTCCTTGCCAGCCCTGTCCAAGATCTTCGAATCCAACTGCTGAACTCCCTCCCTGGCGCCATTTAATCGAACCCTGTCCTTGTAATCTTCCAATTATTACGGACACACCACTATTTACTGCATATCCCTGTTATGGTAGATGATTTTTTCAGCTTTTGGTCTCCTACATAGCCCCTTTTAATCGAATTGCATGAATGCAGTCTTCGCTTGATTCAGAATTTTATTTCCGCTCGCATTACTACATACTCTTGATCTCATGTGGGTTTTCACAAGCATTATAATGACTACTAGCACATTACTACTGCTACTGTTACTCTTGTGATCACCATTACTACTACTCTTCCTACGTACCAAAAGGCCTGAGAAAAGTGCAGATTGGGGCCCAACCCACCTCCCCAGCTGAAGCCAAGCCAAGCCCCCTAAAAACAGCCAGCCCCTAAACCTTAAACCCAAGCCAAACGCCCCTAAACCCTAAAAGATGATGTAGAAATCTACAACCCTGGGTGTCTGCAGCCTTTGGGGAGCTCCAAATGCCGAACCTTACGACATCTGCAATCCCGCGGAAAAGCTCCAGATGCTGTAATTAAAGGGCTTTATGGGGGATATATAGGGGTATAAGTTATATGGGGTTTAGGGTTTCCCATAATCAGGGGTACTATTTTGTTTTATTTGCAACCATTGTGGAGCTCTGCATGCTGTCTTTCACAGCATAACCTGTAGATTTTCTGTGCATTTTCTTGCCATTATCCGTAGTATGCGGGGTCAAGTCACGCCGCACCGTGCAAAGTCACGCCTCCCCATGCCCATGCGGGATTTTGCAAGAAGTCACGCCAAGCCGCATGCTGGCGGGGTCGTCACACTATTGGGCAGGTCTTGGCTAACATGCCACGACTCAAAACATTCAGAAGTACCAGTAGTAGCAATGGCAGTCATAATGGATTGAATCCCGCCCTTGCAGTCGTGGATTGGAAGGCTGAAAGGAATTTGACTAAATTTGGCAGGGCTTGGACGACTAGAAGGGCGGGATTTGATTAAATGAGGCTGGGGG